CGGCACTGGGGACGCGCTGTGGTTCGGTCACGGGCAGGCTGGAAGCACAGGAGAGCCGGAGCTGCTGTTACCGCTTCAGGTCGCCCTTCCCCTCCCAAGGGGTGTCCTCGCACGGGAGGGGAGGATGACTGCCCAGGTGAAATGTGAACAGGGTGCTGCAGGTGTCTCGCCAGCACTGACCTCACAGGTTGGCATCGTAGGCTGCGTTGGTGAAGGTGCCCGGCGATCCTAGATCGCTGGAAGGCAAATACAAGGGTATCAGCTTGGAGAGTGCAGGAGTATGAAGGACAGGGGTCAGCCCCAAAGATGCTCTCACTGCATATAAAAGCTGCCTTAAGACAGGCAGATCAGGGTGACAGCAGGGTGACTGCAGGGCTGTGACAGGCACACGGCAGAGCCAACATCCTGCAGAGCACAGCTCTCACCTAGTGGGGTTCAGAAGCCTCTTCTTCTCCTCTGATACCAGTGTTGAAATGTCCATGGGGATCGAGCAGATAGAAAAGAAATAACCAGATCTGTTTAGTGAAGGTCATGAGAAGCTGCAGCAGCAGCATCTGAAATTGAATGGAGTTTGACAAGCATGGGATGGAGCAGGGAGGGGGCTGACGCATTGGCTGCTTTCTTCACAATGAAAGTGTTTATCTGGCTCTGCCATTCAAACCTGGCTGCTGACACTTTTAGATGGACAAACTGCCAAGGATCCATGCAACTTGCAGCAAATAAGACACGTGGATTAAGGCAGTCACACTGTTAAACTATTTTGATCATCCCACCTTCCTCTGGGACTGTAAACACCTTCCTTCCCTGAGAGCCCTGGCCAAAGCTATGGTGGGCTGTAGAAGGCATTTCCATACCTCTCTCACTGAGCCGCTTGACAAGGAGGGCAATGAGACCCCCAGACAGCACAACACCAGCTACTGCCAGGGCTGTGCCACTGCTGTAAGCCAGGACTTCCTTTAAGAAGGCACCATCCTCTGAAACAGATCCACAGACCCACAGGTTAGAAAGCTGTCAGGACTTCATAGCCCCTCGTGTGCCCTCTGCAGTGGGGGCTTGCAGAAAGCTGGGCTTCCCCAGTGCTAGTGGAGCAAGGGTCCCACTGTACCTGCACAGACTGGGGGATGACTGGTCCAGTTTCCTGTAGCCTCGCACCAGAGCACCTCTGCTCCCATCCGAACAAACCCCTCCTCACAGGAGAAGGTGCACGTGGAGTTGTAGGTGAAGTTCCCATGCACGTGAGAGCAGCTCAGCTGGCCTCTGCTGGGGGGGTCCAGCACTGGACAGCTGATGGCTGGAGACAGAGCACAGTGGTGGCATCAATAGGACAGGACTGATGGTAGTGGGATGGGGACATGTGGGCTGGGAAGCCAGGGGATGAGCCTTCATGGACTGGGGTGCTGGGGAAAGCAGTCTGCTATGACAGAGCACTCCCAGACGCGTCAGATCATGAGATCTACCTTTGCATTGTGGGGTGTCCCCAGGGAGCACGCCCAGACGCGTCAGATCATGAGATCTCCCTTTGCATTGTGGGGTGTCCCCAGTCCAGGTCCCCATGGCCGTGCACTCAATGCTCTCTGGCCCCATCAGCACAAACCCCATCTGGCAGGAGAAGGCACACGTGGAGCCAAAGGTGAAGTCTCCATAGGGGTGGGAGCATGCAGCCTGGCCCATCTTGGGGGTGGTCAGTGCTGAGCATTTGATGGCTGTAAGGGTAAAGAGGCACACCTCAGAAAGGAGCCTGGGAGGTTACACTTTCGGGACAAAGAGGCTGGGGAACGTCCTAGTGTCACCCCAGGACCAATGACACGTTGCACTCTAGCAGCAGCTCTACCTTCACAGCGTGTTGCATCCCCTGTCCATGTCCCTGTGGCTGGGCCC